CTATAGGTGACGGTATATTCATACTGCTAGGAATTTGCAGTTTTACAGTCTCCATGTCCATTAAGGAAATTGAACAGTGCCTAACTCTGCTCAAGCAGACCATATCTTGTCCAATATGGTGAGTCACAGAACGCTACTCACGTAAAATTTGTAGTCTGGACGATTTGAAGCAGCCGATAATCACACCGTGTTCGCACGTCTTTTGCAAGTTATGCCTTAATGAATATATGCTGAGGAAACGTTCCATCAGGTGCCCTATTTGTAATAAGGACACCTCAAAGAGGTATGCGCCTTCATATCTCACTCTGCTAGGGCACTCACTTCGGCTGAAAAATTTGAGCAAATAGCCCTCTTGGGTAAGAAAATTATCGACGATTTTGTTGAGGAAAGCAGGCGTGAATGTAAGTTTGCCTTCCCTTGATTTTGGGTTTAGTCGTTCCTGTGACCAAATTTGAACAACTTCATCTAAGCCAAGAACTTAGTCAAGCTCAGGTAGGTTCACTGCCCCTCACTGTTAAGAATGTGCAGCCTAAGGTTGTTTCAACAAGGAACAAAAGTTCGGAAACGGTTGTAGCGAGCAGTCTAAGATCTGGCTTCTCTCTTTTAACAAAGAGGTACTCACGTTGCGACCAACCAAGAACATGCAAGCGAACGGCGGTCGCACTGGGTGCTTCCGCTCGTATTCTTAAGCATCGTATGCCTTCCAAGGAACTTGTGCCTGTGCCTGATATAGACGAGCCAACACAGCCCATGAGGGCTCAGGGTAGTGACGAAGCATTACCTGATGGACTTTTCGCTATGACTCAAACTCCCCTAGTGATAGAGCCTGCTACCTTGACACTCGACGAGCTTCCTGACCCATCGAATAAGGATAATCAGGCACAGGTCGTAGATACTGAGGGCAATTCAATGAGACGCTCTAGGGTGGATGGTGACTTATCGAGCTGCTGTCAACGGGGTTCAAAACTCTCTCTTGTATCTTCGCTCAAACGCAGCTCTTTCTTACGGAGTATCTCGCGCAGTAACAAGCGCCGAAATCAAAGCCAGTCGCCCGAACCGGAGGCTTCGCCTGTCAGTTCGGACATTCCGTCGCTGCGTGAGCGCTTATCCACTTCTTCGGCGGCTACTCTTAGACGGAAAAAGCGGAGGAAGACTAACGAACTCTATTCCCCATGGCTACACAACTCACGTCTACACTTTTTGAAGAAGTATCGTATCCCTCCGGCCTTCTCAAAGGCACGCACTTCGGACCCTTCTACTAGTCCTAACGTCTTCAGTCCCGGATGGTCACGTCTAAAGAGTCTGAGCGCAGAGTTTGGTCGGCAGTCAAAAACACAGTTGCTTATTCGCTCAACGAAGAAGCGCTCCTCTTCGAAGCGTGACTTCAAGTCTGTTGAGGTAACTTCGAGACAGCCAAATTTGGGTCCTGTTTGTCGCTTTATTTTACCTTCAAGAGGTCCTCTGTTTGAGGTCTCACAGAAGGAAAAAGTGGATGCGCTCTTATGTTCTCGTTGTGGCTGTGAAATTATTTTCTTTTCGAAACCTGCTGCTGTTTTAACCAGCTCCAAACCCTGTCCCATTGTTCGAGATTTGGGAGTCTATTGGCCCGAGTCGTGGCGACAGTCTCCCCAAATGATAAGGCAAACAAATATCTCAACAGCACTAGATTCTGCTGTCAATATCATATCCTCATCTGTACCCCAAACCCCATGCAACAGCCATCAATCCTGTGCTCCAGCGAAGAGCAATGAAATCAGCCATATTCAGGTATTGTTGAATCCATTTCCATTCTTGGAACATGTGCTTTTCACTTGGACAACTTCAGTTGTGCTTACCTTGGTTTATAGATCTCGATGTCATCAGAAAAAGGCACGCCGTCTACTATCAATATCCAACCTTCACTTGTTCCGCAGTCATTCAGTTTGAACACCCAATCTTCCGAGGGAAACTATGAGGAACAGGTGTGTCGCAAAAAACTTGACAGGAGGCCCAGTGTTTTCGAATACGTTATCAAGTATCATCAGTTTCTTAATTTATTCACAAGCTTGGAAATTAGAAAACCTACTCAGATTGATAAAACCTATTTTTTATAAATACTACGCAATTTACTCTTTATGCTCCTTGTAATCCCTCAATTATAAACTCGACGTTACAGGTAATGGGAGTAGGACGTAACTGGTGGCTAAACCCTTAAGTCTGTTGGC